ACAAAAACTTATCCTTACGATCGTCTTTTCTCTTTTTTTTTCTCCATGTCATAGAGAATGAGGTATTTGAAGTTATAGTATAGTATTGTTTTAAATGAAAAAAACTGCCCTTTTCGAAGACAAATTCAAAAACATAATGTAATTTTTCTCAATGACGATGTTAAAATTTAAAAAATGTTTAAAACTTTAAAAAAATTAAAGTGCTTTTTCCATCAGAAAATCAAGACTTTTTTTTTTCAAATGGGCTACATACGAGCTCGCTGAGTTGTATGACGTGGAGAAAAAAAAGAGAAAAGACGATCGTAAGGATAAGTTTTTGTTTAAAAAAAAACAATTAGTTTTAAAAATCTTAATAGAAAGCCGTGAAACTAGTGGATTTTAATTTGTGACATATTAACTTCATACAAAGATAACACATAGATCTATCTAATGGTGAAAACTCGATATTCCTATGACTTTCCATTACAGAGATATACGCAATAGAAAAATGTCTTTTTTCATTGTACGGATACTTTTTATATCCACTGTGGGTAGATCGATTATCTTGGGTCCATATAATAGTTTTACGCATTCGCTAAGAAGAATTATCCTTGTACTAGCAGAATGAAAAAAGGCTGTTAAGTAATTTTATGACCTTGATCGTTTGGAAACGATAGTTTTTATTCTTTTTTAATTATTGAGAAAGGAGAAGTAAAGATCATATGCGTTGTCAGTGGGGTCTGTTAATTTGAATATATGCCGTAAAGAATGGCGTGACAATCTTGTTTCTGATAGAACGGTGTATTACATAGCATTTGCAAAACAACTTCGATTTCCTTCTACAGTGATAACAAGATTAACAAACTCATAGTTAAAGATATATGTACACGTGATGATATATTTGTTTATACAACTTACATTTTTAAACGTATTACTAGACTTGCTTGAAAATTTTTATTCCTATGAATTAACATTCGTAGGATCCACAAGTCATCGGTCAGTTAATTGTATTTAAATATAATTTTTTTTGTTTTTCTTTGTGTTTCTTGCATGCGAAGATATGAAGTAGTTAACAAGTTCGCACCACTTTCTTTGCATCTTCATAGTTTTTGTGTAGCCCTCTAGCTTTTTGGCTCCGTATCCATTTTAAAAGATGAAGTATGGTTGAGTTTTTTAACAAGAAACAAACACAACAATCGTTTGAATAGAATAGATATATACAATACGAACATTAATGTTTCCACTGTATAAATAGATCAAAAACTTATTTTAGAATGAAAAAACAAAACAATAACACGACATAACAGACATACAAGAAATAAAAAAGAACGATACAATATATTTCTCAATTTTGGATTTAAAAAGAAAGTGGAAGTTTTTAAGAAAAAAAAGTAGACTAAAGATAGTCAAATACTCTCAAGTTAAAATAAAAATCATTTGTTCTGAGTCAATGAGATCAAAAATCAAAATAAATATACAGTTATTAAATATATAAAGAATATGAACAATAAAATTGGCTTTCTTACATATAACAAACAGAAATATATCTGAAACAAAATAATTCTGTTGGAAAAAACATGTACATAAAATAAAGTAAAATACTTTTCATAACGTCGAGAGATCTTAATCATTTTTAAACAAAAACAAAATGTCACCAATATACGAAACAAGATTTATCTATTTCGATTAATTTTAAAAAAAACCAAAAAATCGGCTAAGATAACAGTAGAATGGAAAACAAAAATAAAAATAAAAATAAAAATAAATGTACACTTTTTGCACTGTTCATTCATGATCAGACGATATACAAAGTTAATTTTGGAATATGAATAAAGATAACGAAAGAAACAGAAAACACACACAGTTGATTGTAGAAGTTAAACAACATATTATACATAGAGGAGAAATGAAAAAGAAAAACTATCGTAAAACGTCGATAATAAATGGAGATTTTCGGGGACTAGTTGATGTTGTTGTTATTCCCAAATTAACACTACTAGAAGGATAATCGCCAAATACAAAACGAAAACTAAAAAAGAAAGAAAAATTGACTATTTCAATGGTGTAGATAAATCTAACAACAATGTAGAATATCTTCTCGATGCCATTTAGGATGAAAGTAATCTATCGTTGAATGTCTGAATAAAAACTAACTTTCTATATAAATATTTTCTTTTTACCAAAGTTAACGAAAGCAAACATTATTGGCACATTATTACGAATAGAACAACAAACATATATAACACTAATTATCAACAAACATCACAATATAGAAATATCAAATAAAATAAATATTGTGTAATTTAACAGGAAGACGATTATGAATCCAATAATAATGGTTTCTCCTTATTTATATGATTTGATTTCGTTGATTTTTTTATTATTATATCTTCTAATGTAAGGTTTTTTGGAAATGATGATAAAGTAGAAGACGATTTATTATAATAAATTGGTGATGTTAAAGGCGTGTTTATCGTAGATGTTGGTAAGGAGAAAAGCGATATGGGTGATGAACGATGTGCCGTTGTGTTTTTGATTGTTTTAAATGATGGAGATGTGATATTTGTCGGAGAGGACAAAGAATTGAACGTTGGTAATAGAGTTCGCAAGCTTAAAACAAATAACATCAAATACAATCACAAATTACACAAAAGCAAATAATGATTATTAGTCATTAATTAACAGCAAATATGAGAATGCATGCAAAAATAAAAAGTATATATATAAATCTAGAGCTATGAACAAGACATAGTCTTTACTTTTTTTTCAAAGTGTAAAAAACAATGACTATAAAAATTTTTAAATCTAGTAAGAACATTACAAGACTATGTCAAAGCAAAGAAGTCATAGAATGTTTATTTTTATTCTCATTATTCTATCAAAATAAAAATTTATACTTTTTAATTAATCGATGTCTCATTTTTGAATCAAAAAATGGGTCAAAATCATCTGATCAGACATATTCTTAATATACAAAATACAGTTTTTTTTTTAGTATTGAAACATACTCAAATCTTAACCAGATGTTGTTGTTTGTTTTTTTATTAATAGACATCAAAGAAATCAATTAATAAAAAAATTCAATTGGTCATTATAAAATATATTTGAGTATGTAAACATTTTCTACAACTTCTTACTTACGTTATCATAGTATATGTATAAAGAAAACAATCTACAAATAAGTCTAAGAAACTGTTTTCTTAAAGTTGAATCTATTCAGTTATCGTTAGTCTTAGTTTTGCATGCATTAAAAGAAAAAAAATCAGATGAAGAATTTCTTTTTAAATTTATATTTCAAAATCAAAATATCAAAGGATGACAGTAATCACGCGTGTACATCCTGCAAAAATTTTCTTGATATGCATTATTGACAGGGAAAATAAAGCTTACCAATAGGATACAATGGCAAAGCAAGCAATCAAGGGAGAAAACGCACAAAATTTGATGCTGAAATGATAGAGAAAGAGAAAAAAAAAATGAAAAGTGTGAATGAAACATGAACATGAAGTGAAATATATTAAAAAAAGAGTAATATGAAACTGTCATGCCGTCTCCTTTAATACTTTTGTAAATGAAACAAATAATAAATATATTCATATAAGTGAACAAATAAAGCATGGCTATGTGTGAGTGTGTCATGTTGGATAAGCATGAGTAAATAAGCAAAATGAAGTTATATAAAATAATCTAGAAAATGATAAACTTACAATTGACGAACTTTTGATTCTTCACGTTTATAGCCAGGTAATTTTTCTTCAGGCTCTTTATTGATTGGACTAGAATAATAAAAATTAAAATAAACTCTTTTATAAAATATTAGATATATAACGTACCCTTGCACAGCCCCATCGAGTTCATCTTCTCTAAAAATATAATCAAATTTTTTATATAAAATATCATTTATTAATTAGTAATATGAAAACTTACTGTTCTTTAAAAAAGCGTAATTCTTCTTCAACTTCCATTAATTTTGTTTTCAAATCATTTTTTTCCCATAATACTTGACGTAATTCTTCAAGTGTAAAACGTGGACGATTTGTATCAGTTAATTCCAGTAATGGATCCTATAATAAGAAAATGATTAATCAATGAAAAAAAAAGAAAATAAATATAAAGATTGACTTACTATAGAAGATAGTGGACTAGCTAAATCATCACTTCCTTGAATCACTACTCGATCTTTCATATGATTAATAAAACTATCTTTTTCTTTTAATTGTACTTCTAAATCAGATTTTTCTATTAATAGACGTTGTGTTTGATTTGTTGAAAATGTATTCTTTTGTCGAAGTGTAAAATTAATTTTACATACACGTTCTAATTGAGCTTGAATCTTAATAAATCAATAATTTTTTCATGTAAAATAAATTAAAGATGCATGTATACATACGGCTTCAATATCAAATGTTTTCTGTGTAAGATCTTTATCTTTTGTTTTTAGACAACGTTTCAATTTTACATTTTCTTCTGTTAAAGTCTTAATACAGTCTAATTCTTGCCGAGTAATACCTAAGATTCAATAAAGAACAATTTTAAGAAAATAAAAATATAGTGAAATGGTGTATATTTACCAATAACATCACTTGGACTTGAAACTTCATTCCTTTTTTTAGAACCATCTTGTTCAACTTCATCAAGTAAACGTCTATTTTCATCTTGTAATTTTGATACTAATGCCATTAAATTATCAACTTCTTTTCGCCATTGTTCTTCGATTTGTTCAAGTTCCTAAAATAATACCATTTTACCGTTAGATAAAATCACAATTTAAAAGAAAAATAACAATAACAACTTACTCGATCAAATTTTTCTCTTAATTCTCTCATTTCATTTTTTTGAAGTTCTAATTTTTCAATTCTTATCTTTAATTCTGTTAATTCATCTGTCTCTTTTTCATTTTTAGCTGCTTGTGTTTCTAATAGTTCTAATATTCGAATTACTTTTGGTACAAGATCTTTAATTGTATCTGTACCATATAGTTCAATAATTCGTTCAAAATCTTTTCCAATTAGAGCAGCTTCATCATAAACACATTCAACAGTTAAATCGGGATAACAACGTAAAGAAGATGATGAATATGTCATTTTACGCATTACGTCTATTGTATCGGCATTATCAGACGATAATAAGAATGATGATGATGTTGAACGATTACTGTTAGTACTATTAACATCACTAATGATCGAATGAGAAGATGTTAACGATTGTGAAACTAAATCGGGCAATAATTCTTGAGATGAATCTAAACAAGATAAAAAAAAATAAAAATAAATTAAAAAAATCCAGCTACGATATGAGAAACATATGTGTATATATACTAGAGAGAAGGTATATAACAATAAGAATAAAAGAATTTTATTTGGTTTGGTTAGTATATAGAAGATAATTAATAATGATAATCAATAAAGTTTTTCATATACACACCCACACATAAGTGTTATCCAAAAAGAGTAAATTTAGAAAAAATTTATCAATTTTTACCGTTGATAATCTTACCGTATTTTCTATTATTTCTAAAAATAAATAAAATATAAATTAATGTCAGTTTCCTATTGTATTTTATTTTTCTATTATAAATACTATAGATTATCTGACACATACGCCTACACATTTTCTCTTAACATCCCAATTTTCGATCAATATACGTGAAAAAATGTAATCAATATTTTTTTTATGCTATTCGACAGAGTGTTACGAGAATATTAGACAGATTTCTCATGAAAAAAAGAAAACATGCTTCTATAGCTTTGAACGAACACATCGTATATTTAAGTGCTTTTTGTTTTTCCATCTTTTTTTTCTCGTCTTCTCTTCCTAAATCTCTCTATAGAAAGAATATTGTTCAAAATCATATCTCTGACATCCTGTTTGTGGATGTTAATGTTTTTTAGGACAAATCCATGTCTATATATTATGAAGAAGAAGAAAAAAAAAAAAGGATCACATAGATAAGAAAAGAAATATTTTCTAATAGTCTCTATGAAAATATTTATTCATTTGCATGGATGTATGAGTTAATTAGTATACACTTGATACTATTTATCAAAGAATAAGTTTAGAGAAAGAATTTAACAAGACAAACATCATGAATCAATTTTTTGAATCTTATTTTATGATAAATTTTTATTGTTTCAAAAACAAAACGAAAAAAAAAAATTAACAATAACTTATGGCTAATTGAACAATAATGTTGAGAAAAATAAAAGTTCACATCTACTAATCATTAAATAATTTTCATGCAACATATATTTCACAAAAATGTTGATCTATGAATTATTGAATTCAAGAACGTGAAATAGTATTTTATTTTTCATTTTATTGAAATCAATTAAATAGGAGTCGACATCATCGTTATAATAAACATACATACACACACACAAGTATATTTTTATTGTATTATAGATGTTTGTCGGAGAACCAAATAAGAAAGAGTAGCTACCACTATGAGAAATGAGTAAAAAAAATTTTTGTCATCGAATACTCATGTGAATTGAATAGATATTCATCTAATACTTCGATATGAATATGAATTTGAATAAAGAAAAGGAAAAAAAGACCCATGAAAGATAGATAGAATAAATAAACAACGATATTTTTTTTTTGTTTTTGGCAATATAGAAAACAAAACAAAAAAACAACAGAGTGTTGTTCAATTTACTATTGCTCATGCTATAATAAAAAACAAACTTATATTATCTCTACTAACAATCGCTCAAACAACATATGGTACTAAGAGTAAAACTCGTATCGATGAATCACCATGTACGTATTCTTTCATGATGAAAATGAGTATTCTTTTCACTTTTTCTTTTAAAAAATAAGAAGACTACATTGGACTAAATTGTCAGACAATGAATCATGTTGTTGATGATTAATTTATTCGTATACATATTGTACGTAAATAGAAAAAAATCTATAAAATTGACAGTAAATTCGTAAAAAAAACGGTAAAAAATTAGACTCTGTAGATTCTCTACGAATTTTAGAGACGATATGAAAAAAATTAGCTTACGTTTTATTATTAGTCTAGTCAAATTCATCAGCTCGATTGGAACAATATTTGATTTTGATTCTATTGAAAATCTCTAATTAGTACGTATTTCAGCGTGTACCATCAATATGTTTTAAATCATTACAATACATTTAAGTCTTCAAAATTCATGTTTTAGCGATTTGTAAACTAGTTTTTTTATACTGTCACTGACATTGGTAGTGAATCTAAAGATTCTCTGTTAAATCTAAAACGTTGTAATTATGTTTTTCTCCACAATATTATATATATTGCATTCAAAAATAGGAAACAGGAAAAGCAATTATTTGTTCTCTGTTCATACACATTTTAATAGTTCTGACAACTAGACAAGATAACAATATCTTACTCGATTAGCGACTAATGTCAATTAAATGAGATAAAAAGAACAAAATTCTTGTTACGGTACAGAACATTTAATAAAAAAATATATTTAAATGGATACAAAAAAGAAAAAACTAGTCGGCAATGTGAAAAGACAAAGTGAAGATGTAAAGCATATTTATTTTTGTAAAGAACTAAATAAGAATATTTGTAAAATATACAAATATTCCCAAAACATGTGTACCAAGAAACATGTACATTCTCATGCTGGAAGCTTCAACATACTTAAATTTTATATAATAATGGTATAATAATGCTTTAGTGGCACATATGTTATTATAGACAAATTTTAGGATTTTAGGATGCAAAAATCTGATACTAATTTTATACACGAATATATTTTAAGATAATAGCACACTGAAATTTTCCTAGTAATAGACTTATTGAGATACTTGAGCCTGAACGAAACCTTTCTGGTGAATATAGCAATTTGTGAGTGTTCTCGTACTTTTTATGTGTTTAAGAACGTTGTGTTATTAGATTCTGCACATTGGTCTTCATCGTCTTATCATTTATTTTAGGGGTGTTCTGCAAATACCCGCTAAATAACACGAACTGATATTGAGAGCGACATAAGCAACTACTAATTACATCAATTTGTTTCAAAGTATAGCACGTTTCAATTTAGATCATAGCATCAGTCGTTATTAGCAGTAGTTGTTTGCAATTTTCTAACTGATTGCCAACTACGTTAACTGCACAACTCAATACAGCACTAATGCCCTTTAGTCCTTATTTCACTAACCAGTATTTTTCTATGACACAAAAATCTAATATTTTTTAAACAAAAAATCGCTAATTTACAATCATCGTTTTTTGAAACGCTTACGTATAGCCTGTTACAAGTTATAGCTCAACTGACATCACAAATGAATGTATCATCCGCAGACACCATTGCTAGAGAACATGCTATAGTCATTAGCGCCATTGACATAATGTTACTACATTTCTAAAAAATGACGTAATCTGTTAGTTTATTATACGATTTTATCTGATTGGGTTCTGCCGTTATAATGTATCGCTACTAAACTGTTGTTCGCTCAAATTTTAGTGAACAGTAGTTTAGTAGCGATCCATTATAACGGCAGGACCGAGCGGCGTCTATTTCCACCTGAATATTTGAGACATTTTGTACCACCTCGGAGGTTCGATCTCTCAGTGTACCATCTGAAAAATTAATTTCTAGCAAAAAAGCGTACCACCTTACGTTTGTTTGAGGCATTGCACCTCAAACATTCCACAGGATAGATGCCCCTGACACGACCCGATCAAATACAATCGTGTAATAAACTAACAGTTCAAAATATATGCGTAGTTACATAAAGTCAGAAATAATATTTTCCCAAAATTGAAGAAACGTGCCAAAAACGAAGGGATATCCCCGCGCTCACGTCTCTACATTCGATTTATTGCATGTGAAGAAACTAAATTTTCTCCACATCGATACGTATCCGTGTACAACATTCAACATAAATTATGTGAAAAAATTAAATCTTTTTTTCAGTACTATTTTTTCGATAGATACTAACTATTCATATTGGAAGGCATCTTGTGCATTTGAACGGTAAACTTTTGAGCAGAATTGTATCCTGAATGGACGGAAAACAATGGATGATTGAAAATATCTGAAAAATACATAAATTTGAATTCTTTTAAAAAAGTAGAAAAACATATTCGATTGGCTACTCTCGCTTAGTTGTAACTATAAGTAAACATTGGAAACTTTACAGAAGAACAGAGAGTAACAGCGATAGTCATGATTATCTGCTTTTATTGATCGATCTAAGCTAACTGTGAATAATGATAGTCAAAGGTATATCTAACAATATCGCATCTTACTAATGTAGACAGAGCAAACAGAATTTAAGCTAAAAACGGAGATTCACTTCGCATGACTATTTTTTGGACCTGAATGTGAAAATGAATGTGAAATATGTCGTGAACTTTACATAAAACGTTCCAGCAATGCTAATAAGCTTCGAAACCAAACAAAACTATGAGAAGAAAAATGCCAAACATATCATATTATTTATGATAAAAATTCAAATCATTCTAATGGAGAGAAGGAAACGATGATTCATTTTTTTCCTTCAGGCGACATAACTGGACGCCTATATACATCCAATCAATGAGGTACAATAAAGCTTGTGCACTATCTGATTATTAATTACCGAGATTTACCACCGGAAAAAATTAGTTCTGCAATTAATTTTTCTGCAATTAGTCGTACTTGATTCGTTTATTGATCCTATATCAGCCGCCGTTCGAATTTGATTGGTATATCTGACGAACGAATAGATTTTTCTTAGCCGAGTTTCTTTTTTCTTTTTGGGCATTCATATAGTCATCATAATATGTTGATTTATTTATTGTTAATTTCACAATTTTCTTCAGAATTACTTGCCTTTTGTAGATCTGTATGAATTTTTAACTTTTTAATCAAAACTTTTCAACCTTTATGTAGTTCATTCAACTTGTTTAGCGTGAATTAATAGTGGCAACATGAAGAAAGGAAGTTTAATATGCAGAACATGTATATTTAAACTACACATACATTGTGTTGTTCTGTTATCTTTCTCCAGAAAATAGGAATCTGCTAGTTTCAATGTATCTTGGTTTATCTGAAGAATTATTTGTGCTCGTTTTCATAAATATTTTAATAATATAGTCTGTCGAATTATAGATCAATAATAGAAATGGAAGAATTGAATGAAGCTCAACAGAATGCATTATCTCATTTTCGAGTGTGTATTTTATCCTATATATGTTTCTTTCTTTTTTTCAAAAACATCTATTCGTTTAGGAGGTTACACAAATCGATTCAGTTGAAACTTGTCTTCAATTTTTAGAAAATCATTCTTGGGATGTCGAAGTAAGATCTTCTTGTCTTAAAGTTAGTTGTTTGTACATTTTAATTTTTGTTTTTCTAGCGAGCTATTGAAACGGCACTCATCAGCGGGACAGAACCATTGATAACCGAATCTGATGAACCATCGGTAGGATCCCATGATGATGCAATCCCCTTTACTCCACCTTCACCTTTTTCTTCGGAATCTCTTACTCGACGACGTCCTTCTCTACCACAGCAATATCAAGCATCGACAACTTCCAATAATGTAATACATCGACATCATGCTTCAAACGGAACTGCTGCCATTCAACACATGCCATATTCATGGGTGTAAGATTTTCAAGGATTATTATTCAATAGATTATAATACTCTAAATCTACAAGTTTAACTTAGTGAAGAACATAACTTCTCAATTAGTAACATTTTTGAGAACTTGAGAAAAGAAAAACAACCTCTTTTGACGTCTTTCCTAATAAAAACATTGTTATGTTTATTTTACAAATCTTTTTTTTTCTTTGTTTAGACAAATTTTTCGAAGACCATTAACATTATTATATTCCATGTACATTAAAGTTCAACCATTTTTACCATGGACGCTTATCCGTATTGTTTGTTCGTTTGGTTAGTATATTTTTCGACATATTTGTCTTTTTATTTAATCAATCGGATTTTTTTTAGTTCGATCGTTTTGGGGTGAAGCTTTGGCAGGTTAGCTATTTAGTTTTTATGTCTAAGCGATAATTTCAAATTTTCTCATTATATTGCAGATCCACTTCAAGAACTTCAGGATTATTGTACATATTTTGATAATCAATATGGTACGAGACACACAGCATTTTATCGTGGAAAACTTTCTCAGGTGATTTGAAAGAATAATCGTGTTCAATGTAGAGACAAACTAAAACGCATTGCTTGACTTACGTTATTAGTCTTTGCTTATGTATTTTAAGGCTCTTCAAGATGCTAAAAGAGAAGTTCGTCTATTGTTTATTTACCTGCATGAAAAAAATTCACCAGTATGTGAAAGGTTTTGCAGGTAAATAAATTGATGCCTCATATATCTGTCAAAGAGTATTTCTCATATTTTTTCTCTTTTTCCTAAGGGAAGTGTTATGTGAGGAAGCAATTCAAAATATAATTGGTAACAATCTGCTTTGGAGCGCTAGTTCTGATACACAAGAAGGACGTGATGGTAAAGCAAAAAATAAACATTTGATATTTATTTGAGAATTTGTTGTTTTTAGCTATTCGCTTTCTTCATTGCAATGCTTATCCCTGTTTATGTATAATTGCACATGAAGCATCTCGACAAACTGTCCAATTACAACTTGAAGCATATAATGGTGCGAATTATTTTTGTAATGGACAAAAGAGTTTCATTTATGATTAAATTTTTTCGCATTATATTTTAGATGCTGATGAATGCTTAGCTGCCATATTTGATGGTGTACAGAATGCTGAACATGTATTAGAACATAATCGGTAACTAGAAGATAAAATGTTGAATATTATATTTTCATTTAAATATATATTTCATTTCTTGTATTTTAAAAGAAATGTACAAAATCAACGAGGTCAAAGAGATCGTTTATTAGAAGAACAAAATGCTGCTTATCTTGAATCGATGAGAGCTGATCAAGAAAAGGTATTCGTTAAAATGTGTAAATAAGATCTATTTGTTTCATACATAACTCTTCGACATTTTTTTCAGCAAAAACAAAAACTATTAGAAGAAAATTCACGTCGAATAGCTGAAGAAGAAGAACGACGTATTCAAGATGAACGACAAAAAAAGTTACAAGTAATGTTATCTTCTTATGTCTATGTTATTCATTAAAAAAAAAAAATATATATATATATTGTCTATTCGTTTCTTTAAAGCAATTTGCCGAATTTCGTGATAATATGAAAGCAAGTTTACCTGTTGAACCATCATCAACTGAACCTGATATAATTCAAGTATCTATACGTTTACCTGATAATGAACCAATTAAAAGACGTTTTAGACGTAATGATCCAGCTAAACTTTTGTTTGAATTTGCCTGGACAAATGAACATGTACCCGATCAGTTTGAATTATTGTGGGGTTATCCACGTCGTAGATATCAATATAATCAGATTAGTGATCAATTAATTAAAGATGTTATAGTTGGAAACAGTGAAACATGTTATCTTGAGAAAACGGAAGAATCAGATAGTTGATTCTATTTCTTTTAGTTTCGTTTTTTTTTTTGTTTTCTTTTTATATGTGTTTTGAAAATACGACAATAATAACGAGAGAAAGCATCGTGTCTACGCTTAGGAAAATTTTTTATTCAGAAAATATATTCATTCATTTCTTGAGTTTTTGGTTCTTTCTAAATCAAACTAGCCGTGTTTTTTTTTGTCTTTTTTAACCACAAGACACCATAAACGGTTGTCTTCCTTTTTATTTTTGTTGTTGTTGTTTCGTTTATTACTTTTTTGTGTGTTGAATCATTCGCACTCATATATATATTCTTGTCTTTTGTTGAAAAAGTAAATCGGAATTATGTTTTTTTTTCTTTTTTCATTTTGAGAAAAAACACAGTTTCTAAAACGCACGAATTGTTATTGTAAAAAAATGACAAAAAAAGATATGACAATAACAGGAAAAACATTTTTTTTTATTCTTAAAAGAAATGCAAATAATTTAAGAATGATAATCTATCGTACAGTAACATAATTTGAGAAATTCTTAATTTTTATCATAAGGACTCCGAATCATACGTTGACGTGAACGTGGAGATGATGATGATGATGATGGTTGAAGATTTGAATCAGCAGCAGCTTGAGAACATGTAAAACAACAATAATCGAAATAAACATCACAAAAGTTATGCCTTAACACTAATTCACAATTGGCATAAGTTGGTTGATCATCACATGTTTTTTCTTGACGTGTTTCTAAAAATTACAGGAATTATTAGATATTTTATTTATTTTTGTTTTAATTCGTTTCTGTATGATATACAAGTATTGCATTTACAGTGTTATGAAAAGAAGTTTACTTATTTTAGAATTGGATTACAGAATTATTTTAGAATTGGATTACAAATCGGATTACAGACAGAACTACGACTAACCCATATTGTCGTCACCGATTAATTAGTTCCTGAGAAGATTAGAATTACTGTGAGAATTTAAATCGCGCTAGTGCATATTGTATCTCAAAGCAGAGAAGAGAAGCTTAAAAGCTTAAAAGCTGCGTTATCAAGCTAACAAGCAGGAGTAATGTTTAAGGGTCAAACAAAAATTGACTGCACACTTTATTCTAATGAATTTTAACATTTTTCTTGCTGTCTCCTGGACGAAAGAATCGACGTAGTTTATCTGTGAACGGAAAATAATTTTGTGAGAATTTTGTATTTCTGGAAAACATTGATTCTTTTCTTACCTTTAACTTCTAAATAAGCAACGTGACTAACTGTTTCTTTCTTATTGGTTGCATTACAAACGTAAGGTCCTAAAACACATAATATTGAATGAAGTAATGTAAAAAAGTAAATAATGTTGAATGAAGCAAGGTATTGCTTGAGGTTTGTTGTCTTGGTTCATACCAGAATCTATTGTCTGATATGGATGAATGGTTAATGTTCCATCGGATAAAATTGTCATACGCGTTGAATTCATCAATGGTTCATTATTTCGTAGCCATGTAATTCGCGGAGTAGGAAAACCTGTTTGGTAAAAAAAAAGCTGGTTAGTATAGCCGTTTTGGGGCTAAAATGTGTTACTCCTCTAACTAGTAAAAAATAGGTTTTCAAGTCAAAAACTATAGCATAAGAAACTATCCATATATTCTGTGAGAGCCAGTTTCCACTAAAATTTGAGCAAACAACAGTATAGGAGCAATGCGTTATAATGATAGAACTCCATCAGATACAATCCTCCAATAAACTAATAGATCTAATAAACGATGAAACACTGAATTTATCATTACCAGTGCTAAAACTAACCACAGGAGCAGATACTCTTGTGTTTAAGATACTCTTCATAACTGGTTTTGAGACAGAATCCATACCATCCAAAGACACTTTCCATGTATTTTAAGATAGTGTACATAGTAATTTTAGATGGTATCTATAGCTAATTTAGGACAGTCTCCAGAGTAGGAGTAAATTTTTGGTGAAACTGCTAAAGATTCAAGTATAGAACTGTTACTTCTCTAGCCTTTGGATTAGATGATGGAGTTATACAAAATCAGTGAATATATGTACAGCAAAAAAGAAGAGAAAGAATACTTGCCTGTGGCACGACATTGCAATTTAGCTGTGTAACCGATTTGATAGTTTCGATTAACTGGATAAATATCGACTTTAACAGGATCTAAATTAATTAAGAAATAGTTAGAAGAAAATAGTGACATCAATCAAAAGAAAACAGGTAGGCGAGGTTATGTAATCTCAGTTTGTAGAGTTAGCGATAGTGCGCAAAGCAAAAGCTATCTGATCTATTGCTCTTCAGCCAATAATGATTTATATATCCTGAACTTTCAGTTATTATGCAGATATAAATTACATTGATCATCTCTATTAGCAGTATTAATAAGTAAATGCGCAACGTATAAACTATATTTTGTATTATTTCTTAAGTTCATTGGTTGATGATGACATGTACATGTTGTATGGTTGGTGCACATTTATAATAAATTAAAAAATACTGATCGTATGATGAACGTGAAATTTTATTACTGATAAATTCATAGTTAAATTGTACTGAATATAGAAATTATATAACATAATATTATTTTGTTGTTATTGTTAAATTATCTAATGTTTTTAATCAACTCTATTTTACATACTGTATTATCATTATTTAAAGAATAGTGTAATTGAAAGTAAATACTTGACGAACCATAAATATCGAGTTGGATATCTTTAATAGCTTGTCCAGCACTATTGATAGCACGACATGTGTATAAACCTTGATCTTCTAGAATAACAAAGACTTTTCTTATGCTAGTTACTCTAACCTAACACGAACTATTTACCTAATGATACTTTTCTTATTAATAACGATTGATTAGGTAAACGTTCAAGTTTCCTTGTTATTGAACCACTTGTTAACTCGTGTACTTGAAGCTGATTACGTTCTTTATACCAATAGATTATTGGCACAGGCTCTCCTTGTATTAAACTGCATGGCAATGTTACATTTTCTTCAAATTGAGCATAAACATTTGTTATACCATCATTCTCAAGTACTGGTTTAGTATCTAGAAGAGAAATTCTCTGTCAGTTTATTTAAATAGAACATTTTGTATTCATATCACTTGATTCATCAGTACGTTGTACTAGAAAATAAAATTTCATTATATATTTCAGTTATTATGATAATATTAAGTACTTTTACCCGGACGACATTCGAGTTTTGGAAATGCGCATTTTGGCGTAATACATTGATCTTGATCCAGTATAACGCATTCATATCCAAGTGGACAACTTTGTTTCTGAAAAGAAAAATTTTACTTTCTCATAACAACTCAACGTTTTAGTATGTACAGATAAAATTCTGTTCCTTTTACTTGGCACGGATCGACACATTTACATATATCACATCCGTCTGAATCTTTATCAAAGCCGTATCGGCATGGAATGTTGCAATGTTTGAGATTAGCGCAAGCTAGAAAAAAAAAGAAACAACGAGTTATATTAGATTTATTAGGTTTTTTGCGTGACTTTTTGCAACACTAAAGTAAAAAAACAATCAAAGCCATGCGTATTTCTTATTGAAGAAGTTTTTTTTAATATATAGATTGCGGTTATATGCGAAGCGGGTTTTGAAAGCGTTAGGGTATTTTTTGATACCTCTTAATGGTGAACAAAGTTGTAAACAATCATTTTTTGTTAGAAAATGATTTTCATTAGCATCACAACCTCCGTAGAAGAAGAATAAACAATCACGTGTATTCATGTCCCAATAATAACGTACAAGAGTCAGATGACAAGAACCGATATTTAAGGGTTTTCTACAATCGTCTAAAAACCATATAAATATTAAATTTATTAGTTTGTGATATGAAACCTATTGTTTCGTACCAATGGTTTTATTTTGAAATAGATGTGTTTGACAAATATTTTGACATTCAGTAATTGTCAAAAATTGATTACCATATCGATAATAGGAACACGTTGTAAATGATTGACACGTGTATGTAGATTGATCGAAATACCAGTTTTCTTTCGGATGTTGACATGTGAGATTCATGTTAGATACAGAGACAGGATAATCGCACGAAGTATTTACTAACAAGAAATGGTGTTTTTTTATCTGATAAAATTCGATTCTTTGAAATTTGAAACGAAAACGGATCGAATGTCTAATGTAGAAATTAGCAGACATCTCAAAATTTTAGATTTGAGGGATGAATTTATTTATCTATGATTAGTTAATATTCCTAGTTATTTGGACAATTCAAAGAAGAAACAAAATATGAATTTCCAGTTCTAATTTTAGGACTGAATAACATCTCTTTCAGAAGTAGAAAAGGGACAAATTAATTTCCGAAGTATTTTGATAAATCTTTATGTCAGTACGTACAAGTGAATGGTTCATTAATCTCAATTAGTTCTGTTTCTGAACATTTTTTTTCACATTCTTCTCTTGTTAAAAAATTATTTTTGTTTCCTTTGCATCCTGGAATAGGAATGAAGAATATACAGGTAATATTCGTTTTTTTTTTCTTTATCTCATTTCTCTCTCACCGCCATATAAAAATTTTACACATAATCGTTTTTGACTTTCAAAATACCATCGCTCAATAGATGAATTACACTGACCCGTGTCAACTGGCTGCGTACAGACATCTAAATAGGAAATTTACTGCTGTTGATTGAAGCTAAATGCGCAAAGTTTATTAGTGTTTGTTTATGTTTGTTGTATTATTCTAATAGTATTATTGATCAAAAATATTTCCAGTATATTACCTTGACTACCGAGTGGTTTGACTAAAGCGGTCTGTTGTGTATGAGATCGTCCTTCATCATTTAAATATGTCCAACACATATATCGACATTTATCAAAATTTTCGAAATTGTTTCGATTTCCTATAAAAAGAAACAGAAAAAAGTCAATTTTTAAGATCATAGCAAATTTAAAAAACATCTCCAAATAGTCTACCTAAACAACCACCGAATGTAAACGTTTGACAGGTTTTTGTTTCACTATTAAAAAACCATCGTGTCACATATTCTTGACATGGACCGGGTGTTTTTATTTGATGACAGATTGCATGTCGCTTTCGTTTTTCACATACGCCAATACATAACGTACGATCGGGAAAATTGTTACCATTTCCACCACAACCAGAATAGTCAAATTCAACACAATAACCAACTGAATCATCATAATACCATCGTTTTGTACTATTTGAGCACGTACCAAATGCTTTTACTTCATCACAAACATCGAACACTAAAATAATTATACTTATAACGATTAGACTGGAAAAAAATGACTCCAAATGTTAATTCTTGTATTAAAAAATTTCATTTATTCTATTAGACTATAGAAATTTGTTACCTTCTCCACTGGTATTTATATCTGTTTCAGCCAAATTTGGCATATTAGTCGAGCAATTTTCTTTACAATCTTGTTCATTATCAAATCTATTTTCATTTCCTCCACAACCGTGAAAAAAGAAGGAGGAACATTTTTGGCGTAGTGGTTCATAATAATATTTTAATACAGGCGATGTTGTTGTAGAATTCGAAGAAGTATTGCAACTGTAACCATGATCCAACGGATGGACACATATGCTGTTAACTAAAATAAAGATTAACAGATTAGAATAAAAATATTCATAACCTAAGTGACATTTTACTTGTGCTTTCATTTTGTTTTAATATACACCGTAATTCACATGCTTGTTCTGTTGAAAACCGATTTCCGTTTCCCTAGAAGAAGAAAAACGTTTGCTCTATGAAAACACTCGAAATTATGTTGTCATCTTCCACTCTTTATAAATTTTTTCTCACTTTCTCTACGCAATGGATAATTGAATTAAGTATGAAAAAAGGATTATGGCATTTTTGGCAGCTATCAGAGACAAATCTTTCCAAAAAGCAATTTAAAGCGATCACAAAAATATAAAAACTTACAAAAATATTTTTCAAAATTTAACACGATTTTCTCAAGGCCTACATGCAATCGTAACAGCTGAAAAATATATATAAACAGAATAGAATTACAGATGTACGTACTCCACATGAACCATAATAAAAATGTCTACATCTTTTTTCTTGCTGATCATAGTACCAAAATATTTTGTATTGATCACACGGGCCAGGATCCTTCTCAGTTGTACAAACATCTACAGAGACAAATATGATGTCAAATTTATTTCTGTTCAAGTGTTAATGTATCAACTGACCCTTTTCTTTTGCATTACATAAATTTTTACAATCCTCTTCTGTTTCAAACTGATTAGCATTTCCATGACATCCCGTAAATTGAAATGTATGACAATATTGGTCATGTGAATTGTAATACCATCTTGTTATTTGTTTATCACAACTTCCTCGCATCATTGGTTGACGACATATACCTTCAATTTCAACAGTTTTATCTAAAATTGGACGAAGATATTATATGATAGAACATGTTTTTCTCCACTTCCACTACTTACTTGTTCTCGGCGATTTTAGCGTTAAGCAAGATGTATCACATTCTTCTTTTGAGGCAAACCGGTTATAATTACCTTTGCATCCTACAATTTGGTTTTATTTTCTAGATAGTTATTACTTATTGGAGAAGATAACTATATTGAAGCACAAATGTAAGTAAACAGTTTCTTTCTTACCAGAATAATGAAATAGTTTACATTCTCCCTCCAATATGTCAAAATACCATGCTGGATGACGTTCTTGGCATGTTCCAATCATTTTTGATAATAAGCATATATCTATGAAACATTAAAAATTAGTTATTACAAACTAACAAGTATTATTTTTAATAGAATCTGTGTGTACTTTTCTGTCTTGGAGTAACGCATGCTGTTATACATTCTTCGTACGTTGGAAAATTATTTGTGTTCTTCATACAACCACCATAGATGAAAGATCGACATTGTCCATAAGTTGTGTCATAATAATAGCGATTAAATTCTCCATTGCATGGTCCACGATAGGGTAGTAATGCACATTGTTCTAAAATTAGTTTTAATTGTTCATATCTCGTTCATGTAAACAACGATTTTTGTCTTACCAATAGCTGTTGATGAATTACAAGCTTTACGACACTTGTCTTCGGAAAGAAAATTGTTTTCGTTTCCGTTACATCCTAGAGAGAAAGTGGAGCGATATTGAGAGTGATATTGTATAAATTCGAAAAAAATAGTCTGTTTTACCTCCGTATGTGAATTGTCGACAAATTTTTCTGTCTCGATCATGATACCAACGCGTTAAACCCGACTGACATGGTCCGGACACTTTCGGCAATAGACAAACTTCTACAAATTAAAGAGGCATTTGACAATTTGAATCAATTGTAAATCATATTCAGCATTACATACCAATTCCTTTAGGATGAACACATGTCGAGAGACACTCTTCTTCTGTGTCAAAACGATTCAAGTTTCCTTCGCAACTACCATACCAAAATCGAATACATTTTCCTTGAAGACGATCAAAATACCACTTTGATATGTAATTACTACACGTGCCTGTATCTTTTTCCAGTTCACATACAGCTAAAGAGAACATTTACTGTTTATGTATAATTTTTTGCTTTCCAACAGTTGAGTGCTCACTCCTCAAGATAACTTTTGGCTCTTTGACTTTTAAAACGTGCATCACTTGAGTTTCATTACATCCTTCAAATTTGGCACCCTGGTAAAATATGATTGGTTAAAAACACACAACTGTGAAATATTTAACGAATATCTTACCAGTGCTGGTGTAATTCCGTCAGGACAACATTCAAACTGTGTTGAGACACACGGATTATAAACTGGAGTTGTGTGATCAAAATTATTGGTGGTTAGTAGTGTTTCATCGTGAAACTGGTATATAACATTAAGAAATGTTGCATTGTGTTGATCAGTTTCTTGTGTAGACACAACAGTTGTATTGTCTAAAGTAATATTTGTAATCGGCCCAGTTGTTGATTCAATACTGGTAAATGTCTAAAATATTAAATTCATATTGTTGAGCAAAAAACGTCTTCATATCAGATAGTAATGTGTTTAACCTGTTCATTTTTTACGATCTCAAAGGTTTGAATTGGCTTTTCAGTTGATCTGACACGATCACAGCCTTCACTATTTGGACCTAACAAGATAGAAATATACTAGATTATATCCTATCCTATCTCATATTAATGGTAACCTACCATCTGCTTTCGTTACACCGTCTGAACAGCACCCGTATGATGATTGTACACACGCTTTTTGAGGTTGCCTAGTTTTTTCATCATCTTCGATAAATAATACTGGATAATAACGATTTTGATTAGTCAAATTGACACGAATATCTGTTGTGGTGAATTTATTTTTTGGTGTAGATGAGTTTGATGTACATCCTTGTTGATTAGGTCCTTGAGCTGCTATCAAATGATCTTTGCAACATCCATACTGTGTCTGTTCACATGGCACCGTAACTAAAAATAAAATAGGCAAAGAATAGTTATTTTTAAGATAGAACTATTTGTAATTCAATGAGCCCTGAGATGTTACAGATTTTAAAGAATGATTACCCTTATTAATGCGAGAGAATTATTCAACATTCGCTAAAAAGAAACTTTCAAATAAGTCTCTGTAAACTAGTGTAATCTTCTCTCGATAAAAAAACGAGATTAACATTGATGTGATAATTCTGCTCCAGTCTTATATGAATCTCTTCAGTAGATCGTTTTAGAAACGACTTACCATCTTTTTCACTCTCATTATTCACCACTGTTGTATGAGTAGTCGAAAAATTAGTTTTATTCTCATCCTCAATAAAATTATGTGTTATGTTATAGTCATCAATTGTCGATGTCAAAATATCGGATTGTACATCATTAGCTTTTATTATAAAAGTTTTGTTCGACGTATCTGATATATTTTCTATTTTAGAAATTAGTATAGTTGTTCCATTCGATAAGTCAATATTGTCACTAGTAAAATTTTCAATATGATTTACAAATACAGTTTGAGCAATAGCGATTAATTTTAAAAGCTCAATAGTAACACATACAAGAAGAAACTTCATATTAGAAGTAATAGTGAAGTACAGGATAAAGAAATAATATTGATTTGCTTATACACACATACAAATTTCTTCAACTGAGTACTTTTTTCTATAATTTTCTTTTTTCCTAGAGAAACAACAAAAGGTCAATTTAACCTTGAAACAATTGGATCAGTTGCAAAATTCATATACGAACAAATAATGAACATCATAGACACATCACAGATAGATAGATATATGTTGAGACATTGAATCGTGTCTTATCTCTTATTATTAATTTATTCGGTTAACAATCGGTCAGAGAAATAGATAGGAAATGAATGAATGATAGATAGATAGTATTGTTCAATCTGTTAATGGAAAAAGAAAGGACGTTATGGTCTCTTACAGGCAGATTCAATCAATATAGAAATAAAGAATCATCAAACAGAAAAGTATCTTATATTAGTCAGAAATGACCTTAGTACGGTCAAGACTTTCTACTATACCTAGACAACTTAAATTGGAAACAATGATTGATTTTTCTACTATATTTCCTGTGTAAAAGTTTAATAAACTGTAAAGACGAGAATATTCGTTCACACAAGGTGGCTCTTAAAGTCAGATAAACCTTGCTGATTTGGTGAAAAAAATCCTAAATGTAAGATCCCACAGCCATTTTCTTACCCTCCATTAGGCACGGTTGTGTATTGCAAATATCAGTGACTTTCGGTCTGTTTTGAGTTGAACACTGAGAAAATAAAGTTGTTTCATTATCTTTCCAACAGTAAGCTGTTCGAAATCGATAACCACTGCCACAACTGCTAGAACACTAAAAGTAAAAAAATAAATTATTGTAACAGATACTATCTAGTAGTGGGAAACATACTTTTCCCCACGGTCCAGTTATCCATCTTCCTCTACATTCTTGGATAGAACACGCTTTTGTATCTTCAGGTTTATGATTTGGTTCACAAGCTTCATCTTTGATTTTGCTTGCTAGAGATCCAGCAAATCGTATACAAAATACTGCTCGCCGCTGTATTCCAGAGCCACATGTCGTGGAACACTGGAGAAAAGAACAAAAAGCAGTCAGAAAAGTGTGCACCACATACAATTGTAGTCATTCTCACTTCACTCCATGCTCCAGCATGCCATTCTCGAAGATCCGATATTCGTGTACATATGGTAGTTCGGGTGTGATGAGAATTTGGGCATGATTGTAATGTTTTCAGACGAGTTGTATTGCCACAATAGACATCGGGATATAATTTTCCACTTTTATCAGCACAAAATACCAGACGACTTTGCATCCATATGTCTTCGCTACACCCACCGACACACTGAAAGAAAGAATATAATTATATCCTTAAAAACTGTTCCATAGGGATAAAAATAGAGCAGCATTAAGTTACCTACATCTGACCACTCTGTATAGAACCATTCAAGTCCAGTGCACGGCTGTAGATCACATTTTTCAACTGTAGCCGGTTTTATCAAATTGCTGCAGAATTTTTCATCGGTAATTTCCCAATTTTTAATTTTCAATACACATTGTACATTTCTCGTTCTCACACTATTTACACCACATGTTGCATTACACTTAACGAAGATGAAAATTTTACAATAATAAAACGATGAATAAAAAGTAATTGCTTACAGTTGACCATTGCTCCGTTTTCCATTCAGGACAATCGGTATTCATGCAAGTGTCAATAGAGATCGGTTTATCTTTTAAATGTAGACATCGTTTGTCCTCCAGTATCACTTTAGTTCCGTCTCTTGAATAATGCACACAATGAATTTCTCTTATTCGAAAGCCAGACCCACATATATTCGTGCAAGAACTCCATACATCGGGTATCCAGCTGTTAAAGAGACACGTGTATATGAATGAAGAATGTATATTGCCATGCTTTTATGGTATGGAAAAACTTGCCTAGTTTCACAACTAGTAAGTAGACATTGTTCAATTTTTTGTGGTTTAAATGGAAGATCACATTCATTCTCGTCCAATTGTGTACCACTTTCATCATCCACACATTTTATGGATCTTGAGATGAGACCTGATCAGAACAATTTAAAACGTTAGAATCCCACATGCTAACCGATACTAGTATACCTGTTCGACAATCACAGTCACTCCATTCATCAACTATCCAAATACCATGCTTTTTAAGCACACTGTTTGGTAATGAGTAAGAATATTCAACACCAGAATGTGAATCTTTATAAAGATACTATAAAAATAACATCTTAATCATTGTAACACAAATATTTCTTCATTTATTCATACCATAACCGTTAGAGGTTCATCTAATGGTCCAAGTGCACGTAATGTTTCAAAATAGTCTCCAGGATCAATGTTGACTAAATTCGTTGGTAATTGTAACATTAATGGTTTTCTGATATAAAAGAATAATGTGTTTGCTGCATGAAATCGATGTGATTCACTTATTATCCAATTTCCATTTAGTAGAAAGCGATCATTTGACGTTTTTAAGGCTTAAAAAAATATATTGATCAAAAGAAAACGACTTATAGAAAAGGATTTCACGCTATTCTGATCCTTCTGAAAAAGTCCAATAGACTTTATAGGTCAATCGGACTAACTCGAAGTAAACTGACTTATTCACAGAAACGTACCAATACAATTTCGTTGTCCTTTCAATACTTTAATCGTAATTGACGTAGATCTACTGGGTATTATTGTTACAACTCGATAACCTTTAGTAAAAAAATTTAAAAATTTTAATTATTTCGTTAATAATTTCTATTTTTATCTTCGTACCAAAATTTTCATCGGACAAGGACGCAAAAGAAGATCTCGTTGAACAAGTACTTCCATTACCACCACAAATACCACATGCATCATATTTTTTATCATTCAAGTTTGATAATAAGGGTTTTTTATCACAGGATGCTTCCTTAGAAAATAAAACCGTATTATTAACCATCTTAATATTAGACGTAATCAATCGAATTACTTGACATGTTCCATTGATACAAATACCAAATCCATTATTACAACTCGTTCCATCTGGTATTGAATCATTATTAAAACGTCTATAATATTTTCTATCAGATGTACAGTAGAGTGATGAACATTCATCATGTTCTAAACATATAGTACAAAAAAAATTTAATCAATGATCAATTTTACTTTTTGGTTTTCCTTGTTTTCCCCCTCATACTTTTTTCTAGTCTATAGATTTCGTACCAGGTACAACAGGTGTCCATATATGATGTCCAGTATCTTCGAATATTTGACCATTTTTATTTGTACATAATATTTCTCGAATATTTGATAATGAACAATGCTAAAAAATAAATATATTTTTTTTTATTATATTTTAATTTAATTTATTTATCTATTTATTTAATACGAACTTGTGTATTATTATTACATGAATAAGAACAAATTGTAGAATTATCTATTGCTTAAAGAGAAAAAGATTTTATTTATTGATTTATTTTACTAAATTGAAATATAACGTAGAAGTATATACCGTTAAAATAGATGATGACTTGTAATATTTTTAAAAAGTTGAAAAACAAAAATTTAAACTTACTTTTACACTGTATCAGTGATTGTAATACATTCAAACTTAATGACTGTTTTAAACTTGTCTTAGTATAATTATACAATATTTTTGATTTAGATAAAAATGGATAATTTGATGATTGTAACGGATAATGATCAAGTAGTTTTTTATCCTTAATTTTATAAAAGTCATTACTCTTCTGTGTCTCTATGATAATAGATGTTTTATTCATATCATTTTCTTCCATGATTGATAAACACATCTAAATAATCAATTGAATATCAACAAACAAACAAATGAATTTAATTGTATAGTTCATTACCTGGAATATGAATGTCAAAAATTTAAAAACCAGTAACCAAAATTCTTTCTTTATTAATGCCATGATTAACAATCAAAATATATTTTAGATAAAATTTTCCAATTCCAAAATATATTAATGATTGATAAGTCATACATTCACTGTCTGTATAAATCTAGTTAGAAATAGGTAGATGTTTCTACTACTTTATAATGTATTTAATTATAAAGATAATCTTAAGTCAAAGTTATTGTTCATTTGCTTTTTATCGAGTTTAAAATTTCTTCTCAAAAACTAGTACGAACAGAAAAAAGATGTTTTACTCAATAAAAAAATTGTACATAACTGAGGATGTACCGGTTTTTTATTCGGTAATGATATAAAAAAGAAAACATTTTCCTCAGTATCAAAATCATTAACAGTGATAAAAAAAAAACTGGTATAAAATAGTTATCTGTTGCCGATCTTGTCAATAGACAGTAAAACGTCTTGTTAATCAACAATTGTAAATTTACTTTATTATCAAGAGTTTGTTATAAAAAATTTCTTTCCATTAAGAAGCATCTATAACTTCGATAGTTAATTATCATAGAATTACCTGCCGTTTGACTTGAAACTAGTGTATAACTTTAGATAATAATATCTTAATAAGTATTTTTACCTTCTAACAAACAGAAGCCAACTAATTTTTTTCCCAAATGTAATGAAGCAAACTTTTCTTAATTATATGGTATTTATTTATGATCTTTTCTGTTATTTTTTTTTTTTTTTTTTTTTGGTACGTGATATTGTATAACCGCAATATTATTTGTTTATTTATTTCTGTGTCTATATACGTGGAAAACATAAACAAACGTTTCAGCACTCCATTTTTATGTCAAACAATGATTTGTTTTTTTTCTTACTTTGATACTATTACGAAATCGTTTGCACAATTAAATGATGTGAAACGAGTTCATGGATAACAACTAGATGAAAGTTCATATCGAAAACAATGTAAAAGTGGCATCACTCTTCTTTTTTTTTTGTTTTTTTTTCATAGTGTTTTTTGCTGCTATGTAGTGCAATATTATGGAATATGGCATCTATTTTCGCAATCGTCTCCACTTTTCACTGGCTAATGTGATAATGAATATATGAAAGAAAGGCAAGAACAACAACGATCCTATTGAATAGAAAGAAAATTTTTTAATTAGATGCTACAGAAACATGAAATGATAGACAATATGTGTGTAGAGTAGTGAATTTTTCTTATTTTGTCTTGTCAACTATTTTGTTAGTTATCAAAGTTGGATATCATTTACAAATCTATCATACTGAATGCTGAATTAGAATTTATCAGATTTTTCACAGATTGTTCAATATACATTTTTATTTGAAAATTATAAACCATTAGAATATGAGCTTTCATCTATACAATTAAAAGAAAATTTTGGTATTTATATGATATATCAAATTTGAATAGAATATTTATAACTAAAAATGAAAATATTGATCTTGGTATTCATTTAAACAAATCTATTTTTATTTATCTTCACTATGTAGAAAAATTTGTTGATAAACAATTCTTATTTCTCTCGACATACGTATGAAAAAACAGGATATTGTAGTACGATGTAACTGTTGAAAATTGAAGATTTATTCGTTGTTATAACGTAAAAAAATAGTTAACATCATTTTGTTGGAAATGGATGTATATGTTACTAATTTTCTATGTTCACAGATACTAAAGAGAAATATATCCACACCATTGATTATGGCTAACGATGATTGTTCGTTGTGATAATAACTGATTCATACGTTGTCATGGTTTCTGTAGTTATACAATCTGTGGATGTAGGTTTTAACAAATGAAAGTTATTCTTTTTTTTTTTTCTTGTTAAAAAATTTTCTTAGCCTAGAATAAACTCACTGAAATCTATAATTAAATAGTATTCATTTATCGCTGGTCATTCATAGAAAATCAGTGGAAAATATAGCAAAAAATAAGAAATTTCTTATTAATTTGAGCACAACCCAATGATTTATCCACTTACATCTATCTTCCTGAATAAAGTTTACTTGACATTTTTTTTTTTATGTCAAAGAATCATTAAAAATATATTATCATGATTCCTGGCCAGTTGCTCCCACCAGGAATGAATTTTTTTTCCTTTTCTTATATATACACTTAGATAGAACGAACAGAGAAAATAATTTTCTCTATCGTAGAAGAAAAAAGAACGATAAAATAGTTATATTCAATAATGAAAACAAATTAGAAATTTTTTCTTCTTTTTTTCGTTTGGACAATTAAAATTTTTCCATTAAAAAAATATATACTAGTGACTAAACACACAACAGGATCAATCGATCAGAACAAATATATCGCTACATATAAGTAGCCTCTTATTTCTGAAGAATTTGTTTGTTTCTGCCAGCTTTGCATCGTTGCGCGCACCAGCATCAGTTCTCTTTCGTCTCTCTCTAAGATAAGCCTTTTTTTTTTATAGACTACATGAAAGGGAAAACAGAAGTGAATGAATAATCGTGGGTTAATGTCAGATGAAGCATCTTTTAAAAATGAAAATGATAATAAAAATATATGCATCGACATCTTTACAAATAGCAAAAAATTTTTCGCTTGGTTGCAATGATCGTTCACGTCACGTTGACTAGACTATATAGTCAAGTTTCTTTGTTTCTTCCATTTGGACAGTTTATATGATGGATAAAAGAGAGAGAAAGAGAAAGAGAGAAAGAGATTTTTTCGTATTCGACAGAATGAAAGATAGAAAGAGCGAATGAAATGAACATTGTAGGTAGGTACACGATTATAGAGGCTTAATGAATAAACACAAACACTGAAAAAGGTATAATGACAGCACTATATTAGTCGGTTAGATGTATCAACTTAAATTAACTAAAACACCACAGTAATAATCCAAATTTATCTCGTAAAGATGAGCCTAATTTAACTATTCAGTATTTTTAGGATATTCTATTTGTTTTGCTTTTAAGTGTGTAAGAATGCATCATCCTATCAACACTCTGAGTTTTGGTTACTCAACACACATACACAGCAAAAGAAGGAACAAGAGGAAAAAAGCGAGAGAACGCAATAAAACAGTAGGTTTTTACTTTTGGTAAATGGTTGGATGGCGTATCAGCGACGGCGCAAAGAGCAATTTACTTTGTTTTTCGTATATTCCTTTTATTTCATTTATTCAATGATTAATAATGCCTACATTAAACGCCATGACGATCTAATTCATATCATTTTCTACAAAGATATGACAATAGTACGACGATAGGAAATCTTTGTTTTTTTTCTTCTTATCGAGTATGATTATTATAGACACATTGTACTGAATATTTTGTAATGTTCAACCGAAAATAAAAATGTATCCTTGTACATTTATAGAGAATAAAAAGGGTAGTAGACAATGAGAGTTGCCTGTTATATCAAAAAATATTTTATTACATGAGAACATATTCTTTATTTATTGTAGATACACGAATGATTCATTTTGACGCGTTGTCATTTGTTTTCATCTGAAAAGAGATACGGGACAGAACTTTTTTACTAGATGCTGAGTAAGGCAATGCTTTTACTCTCTCGTTTTTCACCCCTCTAGAGGAAAATAGATTTTACATTATATAAAAGCAAGAAAGGGTAAAAAAAGAGAAAAAACTCAACACGTACAAACGACATGACAATATGAAAAAAATCAGGATATTTATCCAATAACGGGACAAAAAAAACACCAAACACTGTCATATTTTCCCAATTCTATGCAAAAAAATGTTCACTACATCAAACTTTTATTTTTATTTTTAGTATAAAATAGCATCATGACGGTATTCTAAATATATTTTGGTTTATTTCAATTAAAAAACAGAAGCATGAGTGTATTCGATGTTAATTCAACAGCACTATCTTTCATAGATAATTCAACGGATTTGATTCCATTAGACGTTATTCCATCGTCAAGTACAAACAATAATAATACCAGTTTTGATCCGTATAAATTTTTAAACCCAAATACATCATCGACTTCAACAGCAGCAACAATCTCATCGTCTTCAACTTCCAGTCAACAACATCAGAAAGAAAGTGATCTCAATGTTGATGTTTCTGATTGGAGAAATATTCAAATCGATGCATTTTGGCCTTCTACAACCACGATTGACTCATTAACGAACAATAGATATTTTAATACGAGTATATTACCGTTTCAGTCGAATATAATTTCTACTAACAATAATAATAGTAATAATTATATCACTACTCCATCAACGTTGAATTATCCATGGACACAACCATTATCGTTTCCATTTCAACCATATTATCCTAATACTAATTCTATAATTCAACCTACAAATAATAATAACAACTCATGGCTTCAATCGCAAAATACGATAAATTCATTTACAATCCCTCCCACGATACAACAACAACAACAACAACAACAACAACAACAACAATTAACGTCTGATCGAGTACCGATAATAAACACAACAACATCACAAGTGCAACTGCCTCAGCCACGACAACTGCCACCACCACCACCGTTTTTTCAAACAATTCGACCTACGTTACCACGATTCAATACTGATAACAATAACATTATTGATCTCACCATGTATAATAATATAGTAAACCCAAACTATGCAGTTAACGGGTAAAGTTGTCTTACAACTTTAGACACAAAAAATGAATTTTCTCTAACGCATGTTTCTGATTCTATTTCATTTAGTAGTCATCCACAACAACATTTTGCACAACAACTTCAACCACAATTATCTACACCTATACTTACGAAGTCTACTTCAGTTTCACGTCTACCACCACCAATGCTTACTGCGGTACCTCCAACTCCATCCGCTGAGATCGATTTGTCACGTGTTCCCGACATCGATATTGAATCGATAATTGTTCAGGTTGAAATGATAATACCTGATATTGACGCTGATAATGCTCGTCGTCAAATTATAGCAATGAATCCAATACCATCACTCGATGATATTATAACTTACTTTTTCGATAACGGCTATATTAAAAAGAAAAATCGCAAAGAACAAGATAAACATACACAGATAAAACGTTCATGGAGTGATACAATTGACGATATACCAAAATTTTTACTTAAGCATGCAGATCCTGTTGCATATTTTTTTGATAGTAAACGAAATGTGACAGATTCCTATACTAACCATGCTAAAGCATATCTCATAAGAGCATTTCCATCGTTTGATAAAATCGTGTTAGAACAAGCGTTGAAAGAAGAAAATAATCATTTTTTGCCAACACTCAGAAAACTAGAAGCAAGAAGTGGTATTCGGACAAATTCATTCATTACAAGGCGATCAATTAAAAGAGTATTAGATCAATTAGGTAAAAAAATGATACAATATTCTTTTTTAAGAAAAGAGTTGTGCCATAAACAAATTGATTATCATCGTGGAAACACTTTAGATTTTTAAATGTAAGGTGCAGAGTGCTTATTTTTAGAGAACTATAGCAGAAAAAAGTAGTGAAGATACGAGAAGTGTCTCGAGACATTGAAGGTAATATTGTAGAAATGCAGAGGTTGCTTACGTATCACTCAGTACCAACATTCAATTTCTGAAAATAAATTCGCGCTATTATGATAAATTTGATCTTTTACTTTTAGACGTTCACGTTGATGGCGTTTCTCGTTCCACTGCCAGCTGGGCTCCTACGGGAAAGAATAAGTATTCGTTGAGTGATATACCTGTGATACCATGTGAAGAGTTTTATGATGAATTGTGTTTTGCTAAAAATGAGAAAAAAATTCGAAGTAAGTTGAGCGAGTTTACTAGTCAAATATAGAATCAATCAACAAATATACTCGTTATTTTTTTTGTTAGGTTATATTCAAAAACAAACGAAAGAACATGAGAAAAAAGTGAAAAAAGCGAAAAAAGGACATCAAACAATTGAATGTGAAGTTTGTATGGGAGAAGACTTACTTATTGACGATATGGTTGAATGTAGTGCTGTTGGCGGTCATTTGACATGTCGGTGAGTAAGCATTATGAATGTCATCAGGTTTGTTTTGATGTACGTTAAATTCCAATCTATTTTAGTGTTTGCGTTCGTGCGTATGTCGAAAGTAGGTTTAAAGAGGGCAAATGTCGTTTTCCTTGTGTTCGTGAAGGTTGTCACGGTGAATATTCAATGCGTTTATTATCTGAATTATTACCTCCCAAAGATATTGAGCGTCTAAATAAACGAGTACAAGAAGATAATATTCAACAAGGTATAGTGTCTCACGGCGAAAAGATCATTTCTTCACTTTGAATATCGATTGGCCTTTCTTTAGCTTCAATCGATGGTCTTGAAACTTGTCCCTACTGTCCGTATGCAGTTATTGTTGATAATCAAGAAGATAAAGTATTTCGTTGTCTAAATCCAGATTGTATGAGAGAAACGTGCAGGTAATAAAACTATTTATATTTTACTTCTGCTGAAATTTTATCTGTTTTCTTGTTTAGACTTTGCAAAGAAATAAATCATATACCATTGAGATGCGATGAAGTAGAAAAAGGTATTGAATTGGAAATGCGTAAGTTTATTGAAGAACATGTAACAGAATCAATGATTCGAAAATGTCCACGTTGTTCAACAAAATTTTATAAAACCGATGGATGGTAAGAGAATGTTGTTATTTTCGTACAAGCGAATAAAAAATGTTTTTCTTTTTTAGTAACAAAATTACATGTTCAAGTTGTGGAATGTATATTTGTTATATTTGTCGACAACAAATCAACGGCTACGATCATTTCACAAATAATGAGCGGTATGTGCTATTACTACAAGATTATTTAAGCATCATCAAAGACTATTTTAATTTAAAAGTGATTGAGAAAAACATCCTGAAAAATGCTTAGTTTTGTTTGTTCATTTGACATCAATACTAATATCCTTCAATATCCATATATTATGTATTTTCATGTTTTTTTCTTACCGTTCTAGCTGTACATTAAGCAATACAAGTGAAAAAATTCATTATGAAGAAATGGTCAGTGCTTATTCGAATGCAAAAGCCGAATATTTACGTTTACATCCCGATGCTCGAGAAATGGTATTACGTTATGATCCAATTGCTCATCTTAAACGTCCTGCTACAACAACAACAACTACAACCGTAGCTGGCAACTAGATCTCGTCTCATTTATTGTCGCTATTCTTTCTACTCTCGTTCGATTTTTCATTTATTTCGAGTTATATATGTATATAGAATATATATATATCATTATTACATAGACGAATTTTTGGTAATTTTCCATATTATTGTGCTGCTATTTTTAATCCACGTTTTTATGAAAAACTTTGTACGTTGCATACATATACATAGATCAATATTATTCATGACTGCATATTTTTTTGTTTTAATTAAGATATTTTTTTACGTTAAACTTCGGCGTTTTTTTGTCATTCATGACTTCCTTTTTTTCTTCTAGTTTTTCCGATTGTCTTTCTTGATTTTTTTTGTTTGATAAGCGAGAGACCATGTGACGTATAACTGTACTTTTGGTTTTTTCTCTCGTTTTATTATAGCAAGGTCCTTCATCCTACAAAATTTGAGGAACATATTATTTTTTGACTAGTTGCTTTACGACTACTACTACCACTACTGCTGCTCATATGCGATCTTTTTGTTTTTGAAGAGCAATATCTTACAGTTCGATATGAAATCATTGAGCGTTTTCTCCACTTCTTTTCAATATGTATTTTTCTCTGCACATGCGCGATACTCCTGTCGTCCGTTTTTGTTTTTTTTTCATCGTTATTTACATGAAAAATTTGACATGTCCGCTTTTTCATACTATAGAAAAAAGTTGTTTTTTAAGCAGAAGAACGCTAATTCTACATGAAATCACTGAGAGCGCATAGAAGTTCAAACTTTTATCTGGTGAAAATGTGTATTTTTGTTTTTATTTCTTATACCTACTAGAAATACAAAAATGAATATTTGTATCTGTGTTCATCATACACATGCTAAAGTGATTGCATTTTGCTATAAAGTGGTAAAATAAATTAATCTATTTGTTGTGAGAACAACTTATTTAGTTTATTTACAGCAAGAAGAAAGTAAATAGCTACAGAAAATGTAGAATATGTCTTCGGCTCACTAGGCGTTAATTATTTTAAATTATTTCAATCGTATGTTGTTGTTTTTTTCATCAATTGGGTTACATGTGTTGCGCGTTTACAACAATATATTTTACGTCATGTATGAAAAACATGTATCCGTTCATTCTATTAGATGCATATTTCTTTTCTACTAGAATGGGGTAATCAGAGCATATTTATGAAATACCATCGTACCTGATTTCATGAATACAGCAAAATCAGTCTCAATATAGAGTCTTATTCATATTCTGCCTAAATAGGTCCGCTTCGCGTTGTCTCAATAATTTTTACTAAGGATCGCACATGAGGCCCTCATGGTATTCTGTTGTACACGATATGCAATGTAATTACAAACATGACTCGTATATGCATGCCAGTTGATTACTAGATAAACGATAGATCTAACGGGAAAAGAATCGTTAGAGGTGACTTAAAAAGCTCGATTGAAAAACGTGTAGGTCTGTTTTTGATCGGATAATCGCTCTGTTAGAACATACTCGATCTTACGACGAATTATGTCTTGAAGTCTTTTCTCTGACAAACTAGCAGGGTAGCTTGAACTGTACAACGTGGTGTGCTTGTTTACAATCGACACCAAAATATTCGTTAAAATCGTGTTCTCTGGTATATGCTTGAAGCTGCATGAGTCACGTTACCGACATTCACAGCTGCTATTGATAATTATGTCACGAACAAGAAAAGGCTTATCACAACCGTCGGCTAAATAAGTCATTTCCAATGTATCTGCACTGAATGAAGTGTGGCGCAGAATTACGTCTCAACGTATTTCTAGACACATTCACGACAATAGACATGACGAAGATGCTTGTAAACTGTACAGCACCGTTGTCAGGTCGGAGTAGACTATACAATCGGCGGTGAAAGTTATGGAAGTATTGTCCATCCAAAAAAAAGAATAGCATATGGATGTTCGTTGAATAACTTTTGAATGGTGAAAGCTAGAGAGCTGGATTTTTCAAATATAGAAGAGAAGATTATGGAGCGTCTTTTTACAAGCGGAAAGTTTTTTAAGAAGTTACATCAACAGATAGAGGGAAGTGTCCTCTTCAAAATGGAATCTAAGGAATTGCTTGAAAATCTTTGGTTTGGCCAGAGAGGCGATCCTGGACCTGTCCAGGATCGGTCTCCTTCCAGTCTGGTACTCTTAAAAACGTGTCCAATCGTATGTTATCGACCATCCTGAATCTCCAGACAATGTCTGTTCCATCATGCAATCTCTGA